TACCAATGCGGAGAACAACCTTGGCTGCTGTTACATGACTGGAGAAGGCACGGAAGTCGACCTCGGCAAAGCAAGGTACTGGTTCGAGCGCGCCGCTGCCAAGGGCTACGAGTTAGCTATAGAGAACCTCGCGCGCCTCGACCGCGCGAGTATAGCCTAATTCCTAATTGGACACCGGAATCCATGGGCCTAATCTTGAGCATGTTACCTTCTTTCGCCCCAGGGTAGCGCATGACACACACACACAAAGTCCTTAGCGCGCCGACCGGCGCCGCGCGGACGGCTTCGACGGCGCCTTCGACGGCGCCTTCGCGGACGTCCGCGCGTCGAAGGCGCCGAGGACGTAGCACCAGGAGCCGATGGCGCGGATCACGTCCGGGTTCAGCGGCGGCCGCTTCGCGCCCGGCGCGAGCAACAGCCACAGGACGCGCTCCGCGCGCCAGTCCGCGCGCGCGGCGAGCAGGAGCCGCGCCGCGGCCCAGCGCACGCGCATGGGCAGCCCCGCGGGCTGCGCCGCGAGGCCCCGGAGCCGCGCCAGGGCCGCGGGGTCCTCGGCGAAGTCCTCGGCGGTCCGCCGCCGCGCCGCGGGCTCGCGGACGCGCCGGCGCAGGTTCTTCTCGACGTCCGTGTCGACGACGTGGAACTCCGTGCGCCGGTTGAGCCGTTTGTTCGCGACGTCGACGGGCAGGTCCGCGCCGAAGCCCCGCGGCCGCAGCTGGTCCCGCGGCACGCCCCGCGCCGCCAAAGCGGCGACGACGGCCTCCGCGCGGTCCGCGGCGAGCTCCTCGATGGTCGTCGAGCCCCACATGGGAGACGTGCAGCAGTGGCCCTCGACGCGGACGACGAGGTGCGGCCGCTCCGCGAGGACCCGCGCGACGGCGTCGAGGACGCCCGCGGAGCCGTCGGTCACGTCGGAGCTGCACGCGGCGAACTGGACCGTGTCGGAGACGCGGAGCTCCTGGATCACGGTGAACTGGACCTCGCGCCGCGCGGCCGTCGCCGCGCCGTGGCCCTCGTGCCGCAGGCGCGCGGGGTCGACGCCGAGCTCCTCGAGCTTCGCGGCGACGGCGGCCGCGCGCGCGTCGGCGACGGCCGGGTCCTCGGCCTTGGACGCGTGGCCGTCGACGGAGACCTTGAGGCGCCCGTCGGCCTTCATGGCGCGCGCGACGGCGCGCACGGCCGGGAGCGCGGCGACGGGGATCGCCG